TACTGTGTATGTCAATTATAGCTTTCCGAGCAAAGAAAGTGCAATAAAAGGATAATTACTTACGTGACTTGGAGGAATATGCTTTCCACTGAGAAGATCCAAAAGGACAGTTCCGAAGCTGAATATAACACTTTCAGGAGTAACCCTTCCTAGAAACACACACAGTAATAAGTTAATCAGATCAGAATCAATCATTCAAGCCAGTAACATTTCTTAGACAGATAATCCATGGAGAAAATTATCTGTCCTAGAAACTTCAAAGCTTTAAATAATCAAAATTTTCATGATATACTTAGTTCAGTTTATCTTTCACAAATTATGGTGTTGCCATGGTGGGAATCCACAGAAGCTTAATGTAAGATGAATAGATGGTAGTAATTCTCACACAATCTAAAGAGCACGTTAAAATATGTTTCATTCATTCATATGCAAAATAGACATGTCATCATACTTAAATTGACAGAGATCACTCACTCACTAGAGGTGTTTGCCAAAAGTCTGTTTCTGCAGTTTGTCCTAAAATTCTGTTAAGGCTCCTTGCCTCTATCTTAGCAGATAACATGAATGATGATACATATTTAAACCTTTCAAAACAACTGATCAAAAGACTAAGTTTTAGATTTACACATACAAACTAAGGGTTACATACAATGCAAAGGAAGATTACGTTTCTAATGAGAGCAGAGAAAGAAGTTAAATAACAAGAACAGTTAAAAGCAGTTACCATTTCTTAGATACTCAGGAGGTGTATATGCAAGATTGGTACTATAACTTTTCCCATCCCTACTGTTCTTCATCAAGCCAAAACATGAAAGTCGAGGATCACCATTCTGCCAAAACCAATAAAAAATTACCAATTCACTCTATAGAAGATCATAACAAATCCAAACACCTGAAAATGAGACTTGTTGCTCCACCTCATCAAAGAGAACCCTATATGCATTCAAATCATGATACAACGGACGACCTTCACTACTACAATAATCTAATGCTTCAGCTATATATAAAGCAACTCTCAACCGCATGGCCCACTCGATAGTCTGGTTCTCCCCTGTCAAGCAAGGAAAGAACTGAAATTTAACTTCAAGCCAAAAAAAATTATTGGACAATATGGCAAATCATTATGATGTCATTTGCATTACAAGAAAATGAAAATTAAGAAGATATCACGCAGGATCTAACTGGTTGAGAATTAATTAGGTGGAAACAAATTTAATGAAACACATCACTAAGCAGATCAGACAAAGTAATAACTGCGCTCAAACTGAATTAAATTTATTTATTTTCTGTTCAAAAAAAGAAATGATAGCTAAAATTGAAACATACAGTGAAATAAATGCTTTGCAAGGGTATCGTTGGGCATGTACTCGGCAACAAGCAATCTCTCGTCGCCATCGCAGCAATACCCAATCAAATTCGCCACTCTCTTATGTCTCAGCTTTCCAACACCCCAGGCTTCCTCCTTCAAGGAAAGGGGAAAAGAGAAACAATCGAATATCAGCAGAATTGAAACCCTAGAAATGGAGATAACTCTGATTTTTTTGAAAAAAAAAAAAGAGGAGGAAAAGAAAACATACGGCGAATTGTTTTGGATCGGGCCAGGCTAATTTGGTAAATTTCTTGATGGCGATCCAACGGCGATTGTTGTCGTTTTGGAGGCGACCTTTGTAGACCACATTGGGGGCCTTTTCGCCGCTTTCCGATACGATGAAATCGGAGCTGAAGTTGTTGGTGGCAGCCTTAAGCTCGGCGAGAGAGAACTCCGAGAAATCCGGTACGCCCCCTGCCCCACCGCCAACGGAATCCGTTCCGTTGGACGGTTGGGGAGGGCCGTTATTGGCCTGAGCGCGACGGTTGTTGTTGCTGCTGCTGTTGTGGTGGTGGCTGTAATTGGTTTTGCGGTGTGAGCCGCGTACTTTCAGAAAGGACGATTCGCAGCAGCCCATAACTCAGAGGTGAGTTGACTCAGACGACTAATAAATAACCATGGAGATTCCTTCCCCTTTTTTTTTTTAATTTTATACTTTCTTTTTTTATTAATCGAAGAGTATGCTTTTGGTTTCGGGAGTTTTCTTACGGGGCAAAGAGGGGGAAGCGCTCGTGTGGTTGAGAAACAGAGTGTGAAAGAGAGAGAGATCTAAAGAGTGAGAAGCTGCGCCAGCTTTCTCTTTCTTCTCATTGCCCTTCTTTTCTTTTCTTTTCTTTCTTTCCCTCTCTGTCTCTCTCTCTCTCTCTCTCTCCGTCGTCTCTTTCTGCCCTCTCTGCACTGACAAAACCTCTGTCCCTCTCTACGTGTTTTTTGTTTTTTAAGTTACTACTATCGAATTGTCCTTTTTACGTGCTTGAAGGGTGTTTTTGTCCTCGTCGTTTTCCTTTCTCGCGATATTTTCAACAGTTGTCCTTCCCCTACGCTACGCACACTGACACGCTGTCGTTTCTTTTATCCTTCCCATTTTCCTTTTCCTTTTTTTTTTATTGAACTAATCTTTTATTTGCATGGAAAAGAGATTTTGTTTTAGAAACAAAAAGAAAAATAGAGCACCATACATAATTAAACTATAATATAATCTTAACTATTTGATTTAAGATATCGTTCATGAAATTTACAAAATAAAAGAAAACAGTGTTCTAAGTTGACATTGAAAGCAAAACTCCATAGACCTCATTAGACTTTAGTAATGAAGTTTGTAAGTTGCCATATGCATTTAAATTAACAAATACTAATAATATATGTTTCACCAATCAATAATTAATTACATATTGCATATTAATTATATCTTTAATCAACTATTAGGGGTTCATTTATTAATTGAGTTTCATCATTTAATGATAGTAGATTATACACAAAATAATTTTTACACTGTATTTGGAATAAAAAATATATGCCAGTGCATACCATTGCCGAATCAAATATATAAATATATTTTCATATTATGTAAAAGTTAAAGGTTTGATTAATTGTTAAGGTTAATTTTTATATGAGATTGTTAAGATTAATTAAAATTTGAAAAAAAAAATTTATTTACTGCATTATATTTATTAAATTTTAGAAAATACTAATTACAATTTTTTTTTCATACAGAATGTCACTTAAGGGATCAATACCTATTATTGACATTGGCCAAATATAAAGCATTTTTTAAATTAAATTAACTAAATCATTAAATTTAATTAGTAGTTAATTTAGGAAGTATTAGCCTTTGATCTCTATTTGATTTTCATTCAAATAGGAATAAAATATTTAAATTTAATATATTTTATATTAAAAATATTAAAATTTGTATAATTAAATATTCAATATTTATAGTAAAAATACAAATATTAAATAACTGAAAAAGTTTATTTTAAAATATCTTTAAAAAATGAAAAAACGAAAACGGATTAGAGTTGTATCTGCTTTTCGCCACAGAAAAGATACGGGTTACCACGGTCCGTGTACAGCACGAGTTGAAGGTCAGTGCAATCAAAGATTCTTTCCCGTTCAATTAATCGCGAGTTTTGGGAGTTCTTTTCGTCTTTTCTCATTTTCACTTTTTCATCTGATTTCACACGCAACCACCTCAGAGATTAAAATGTATTTAACCCCGTCGTGTTTGCCGATGACATCAGTATCGCTGCAGCCAAGCTCACGCCAGCTGCACTCCCATTCTTAATCTAAGCATCTCAATCTAACCCACTGGAAGTAATTTGTATTATCTATTTATTTGGTTTGAATAATAAAAAATTCTTAAATTATGTCCGGTTATGAAATCTAATTATTATTTTTTCATTTATACGTAGATAAACTCTTAATTCTAACGGAAAAAAATAACAATGACCACCCAAAGTGTCATTGAGACGACAGCAAGGTGGGAAAAGAACGTAGAAATAGAGAGACTGACTTTTTAGGATGCATGCATGAAGAGAGAGAAATCTCATTCGCGTGGAGAAGTCGCAGAAAGCAGCAAGCGATGGAGACAACCAGAGGAATGGAAATTGGGAGGGAGGTTGGAAATTGGGATCGACAAATAGAGGAATGGAAACAGAAGTTTTAATGCAAGCCGATCACGTCAACATTAACTTTTCTTTTTCAGAGGTCTCCAAAAAGTCCAACCATTAGCCGAAACCTGGAAAGCCAAAGATATAGTTGTAATCGGTCCAGGTCAGGAACCGAACCAAGCTTCATTCAAAATGAAATTTTTGATTTAGAAGTTTGGAAATTTTGAACGTTTGGTCAAATTGTCTGAACAGAGGAACTGATACTTTTTCTAATTAGAATTCAGATATTCGACGAGGTCGAGGAAAGGAAGAAGACTAGCGTGGCCACAGTGGCGGTTGATGCTAGCTAAAAAGAAAAGATACAGCTGTCCAAAGTATTCTACGCCAAGAATTTTTGCTAGTTTTGGGGGCGTAATTCGTCGTTTTGACACTTGCATCTAGCCCCCCAACCGCTAAAACGTGTCGGATTTGCCTTTTGCGAATGACAATAAGCAAAGTCAAAAAGTTATAGGTCTCAATCCCTCTCAACCTCCCTCATCGCAAAGCGACTCTGATCTGCAATTTGATTACTCTGTTGCCATTTTCCTTTTCGGCCACGGCTTCAGCTTCAGTATGGATATTTCCAAAGGCGGGATTTTGCATTATCAGAAACCGCGTGCGTGCGTTGGAAACGCCCTTCGCCTGGCCTACTTCTGATTGCCCTTCCCACCTCTTGTGTATTCACTTTCAATGGGTCAATGCTAGTCTGAAAACTTTTTGAAACCTCACCAGGCAGGGGAATTTCTCTTGAACCCTACAGGCTATGACGGGTATAAGGTGCCAACTACAAATATTAAAAGAATAGTTCAATGGGTTCGACTGCCCTTTATAAGAATTTAATTAATTTAATTTTAAATTTTTAAAACAATAATTACTCCTCTCTGATATCATTTGTAGAGGATGCTAAATCATTCTAACTCTACACATAAAACTACTGAACGAGTTTATTGAATTGTTGTACAATGATGGATGAAAGCTGATGACGAATAATAATAATAAATTAATAATATGCTGGCAAGCATCCGGTGCAGCTGATGCCAAAAATCGCTACCTCGCCAAAGCACATTCTGAGGCAACATAAATTAATCAAGCATATACGAGTCTTTAAAAACTAGGTGTGAAACTTTCCTTCTTTCAAGCAGCTTGGCAGCTTTTAAACGATGAACTTGCAGCTGATAAGGATGCTTTTGTCAAGTCTTGCTCAACCCAAAATTCAAAACCTTATCTTAATCAAAAGGACAAACGATGGGAAGATGCCTACCGACTAAGACTTTTACAATTCATGACGTTGACTTTCACCAAGGGAAGGAGGTAGCGAAGTCATCCTTAACCATTCAGAACCAGCCTTAGATGCCTTAACCATGATCAAGGACGACAATCAGGTTTATCTTGAGAGGCCCGGTACAATTCAATGCATTTATGAAGCTCCTGATAAGTTTGCCTGGACTGAGTGGCAAGCTTCTCCATTCCCACAAAAATCTGCTTTAAACCATGCTGTACACTAGTTGCAACCCTTATATCACTGCGACGTGTATCTGTAGGTAGAAGGGCAGCAGTCTCTTCCCTTGCCAACAGTGTCATCTTTCTAACTCGAGCTTGCATTAATTTTTTTATCTTTTGCTCCTCCTTTTCCAAGATCTTTACTTTTCTTTCCATATCCTTATCAGCAATGATCCTTTGTTGCAGATCTGCATTGTGATGTTCTTGCACTTGGTTTATGCTCATGAAAAGTCCATGCACCGCTTCAACCACTTCCTTCTCCGACAGTCTATCCATGGCTTCTGACCACTGGTTCACGATCACAAACACAGGGGGTGCTCCGCATCTACCAGGGGAGAAAGGTGCTATACCATCTGCTGTTTCCTCTGGTTCATATTGGAGACATCTTCGTACCCAACCATTCAAAGCTTTGACATAGCCCCTCTGGGCTTCAATCCAGCTAGAGAAGCTAAGGGTCCAGTTTTGAAGCTCAAGCTTTACTTTTATTGCCACTTCAAGCTGAGCATCATTAATCAGCTTTCCATTCAGAGGAATAACATCCAAGCATTTAGCTTCCATAACCTTTCGGCACTGACAGCTATGGCATTCTAGCATTACCTTCCACATTTCAAACAATCTAAAACAAGTAAATTACAAGTTAGTCACCATTCTTCAACCAAGTTCAGAAAATCCAGCATTTCAATGTCACTTCATAAATGAAAAAAAATGCTAGAGAGAGAAGCGTATAATCTCTAGAATTTGCTTCATTTTCCCCAATCCCAGTTTAGTTCCCTGTGAGTTCAACATTAACTAACGACCGTGTGATGCCACCAAAGAATATCAGGTTTCTCTTCAAACTCAAAAGTGTCCATTTTCATGGTCACAAGTGACTGCACTTATTCAAGATATCTGCAGTCTCTACAGTGAATGTCTAGCAAATACTTAGGAGCATGAGAGCTGAAATCATGTAACTATTGAAAGAATACAATTATTATGATAAACAATTCGGTTAAACAGTGTATATAGGGAAAAGATGGGTAGTTGCAAAAGCCTCCTAATTTAAATTCCAGTCAATCCCAACCTAATTATTTTCACCTTTGCAGAATTTTATTTGCTTGGATAATTACATATATCTACAGCAAAAATAATCTATCATGAATATATAAAGAACAATGGGAAAACATCATACTTGCTACGCGTAGGAGCCCTTTATTCATCTTTCTATGGGAAGGGAAAAGAATTTTAAATATTAGCAAGACGAGTATAAATTCAAGCATCACATGCAAACCCAACTATTCAAGTCATCGTAGAAAAGAAAAGCCCTGTTTTCTCCCTGCAAATATCCCTAGTAAAATTAATGAGCAGAAACAACAGTGCAAGAAAATTTTCAGATATCATTCACTTAAAAAATATTGAGGCACTAGAACATCCAAGATCCATATTAACAATGCAACATATGAGTGCCAGTGCATGTCAACGTCATATTGTGATCCAATTCTATACATAATCCTATTAAAAGAAGACAAAAGGAAAAATTAACTGGACTCCTGAAGAAATAATTTTCTGTTTCTTATTGTTATCCATTTTTATGTTATGTTCTATCTCACCTTAGTGTCAGCCTATATTTGTTAATAATGAATTATTATTTCCTTATTCTTTAAAATTCTTCTATACCACCTGTGTTCCTTCTTCAAACAAGTGGGGAAACAGCTGCTCTGCGCTTGCAAGAGGAGATTAGCCCCATCCTCATTCCTAATCGATAATCTATTACTATAGTGACTGTAATACCGCCAGATGGACAAGTTGAACACTGTACTAAAAGTCTTCTCGTTATGCTATCGAGAGTTGGACAACAGAAAACAGAGTAATTCTAACTAGACTGATAATGTACCTGCAAATCAGTTCATTTATCTGTGGCCACAACTCTTCATCCATCAGCCTATTTATAGTAATTGCTATCTTGTCAATAACTTGAACTGCAACTCTCATCTTAGTAGATAAGGCCCTAATCAAAGTCCGCGTGGAGTCAACTCTGTGAGCATCAGCACCTTTCTGATCCAAGCTTTTAATCTGCCTACATTTCTTTGCATGAATTATACGCAGCTTTTCCTCGGCCTACAAAATAAGTCAATAAGACACACCATCTTTGAAACTAAAACCTTTTTTAAACAAGGAAAAAGATGGAAAAATATTACAACAATTCTGCATAACAGTCCAGTGTGCTCATGATAATCTGTTTCTATCCACTCTAATTTAAGCGGATAACTTCAAAATTGGGTCGATAAAGAAGTGCATGGGAAAAGTATGTGGAAAAGGAAAATGTTTGCAATTTGGAGTTCAGAGCATCCTACAGGAGCTGCCTATATCATTGTGAAACACTGTACTTCGCAGGAAATACTATCTTGATTAAATCAAACTAAGTGATTAAACATCTTGATGATGCATAAAAAACTAAGGTTTTAAAGATAAAACATCAGGAATATGAACTTTGATTAAGTATTTCAGCCTCTTATTTACCAATCCATTGACCTTTTCAGCTTGCAAATATGAGTTAAAAGGACAAGTTGAAAAGGTAAAGTAAAAGGCCAAAAAGCATCTTGACCATACCCTGACTTCATCATAGAGCTTCTTCTCCCACATGCACAGTTTCCTGATAGTAGATGACAGATTCTGTGAACTCACAATCTCATCTTTATCCGCAGAACTAATCTTCTGTTTGGATAGTAAGGACTCTGTTTCGAATGAATTTGACGTAATCATATGAATAATATTCGTCGAACCTGCATCGCAGAAACCATAAAAGCTATGTAACTGAAATTCCAATTCACAGTTTTGTTAAGGGAATGGTTAAACTCATACCTTGATAAACAGATTTCTTGTGATGATAACGAAATTTTCCAGTGTCAAGCATTTTCAAAACTTCATACCCGGACTCCGAAGCTTTCTGGAATAGGACTTGCAATTCTTTCATTACCTCAGAGACACTTTGTTTACCGCTTTGATTTTTCGGTTCATTTAAATCAGTCCTCTTTTGAACCTGTTCCGTCTCCGAATCTACGTTCTTCTTATTCTCTCCATCACCGTTCTTTACTGGTACAGTTTTTCCACACGGGTTCTCTTCCTTTTTTGCTTTTGTGTAATTTGCGCTGGATTTTGCATCTCCATTAATTTGCTTTACGAGTTCGGCTTCAAGATCAGGAGCTCCTTCTTTGTTCTTCACTGCTTTGCTCGAACAATAAGGCAACTCGTATCTCTCGTAAATTTCATCAAAAAAATTCAAGTAATCCCAAGCCGCGCTTCTCGGAGCCGGAGGTGGAGGTGTCTTCCAGCCCGAACCACTGAATTCGCTGTTTTGGTACGTATTAGTGTTATAATTATGATTAGGCAAAGAGTATGATGTTAGGATTCCATGATTAAGATAACTTTGATGGATTTGGTTAAAAGATCTACTACGTTCTTTGCCTGTCTCTTCCTCTTCCGAATCAGTATCGAATTGAATGTGCGAATCTGAGTTCGAACTCGAAACAGAATGGTCCGGCGAAGCCTGAGGAGAAGGTTTCTTCGGCGGTTTCTCGGTGGCGACGGCGGAGGAGTCGTCATCCCCGGAGGTAGACTTGATGCTTTGGTCGAAGAAACAGTGGAGACTGGGGCCTAGAGTCTTGAGCGACTGCATGTAAGCCACGTGTGCATCGGCCAGGGCGTAGCTTTGTTGGAGAGCTTCCTCGAGGAAGTTGCAGCGGTCGCGGCACAGGGAGACCGCCGGCAGCTGCTCCAGTTTTGAGGTGGCGCAGCCCATGAAAGACACGTGTCGCTTGCTAACCAGCTCACCTGAAAGCAAAAACAATTGTTAAAAAAATCAACCAAGGCAAAATTTTGAGGGTTCCGATGACATCTTCTACGGGTTCTCTAAGTAACGGCCCCACGGCTCCGCGGGAGCAGAATTAATAACAGAGATTAATAGAGGGCCGTTGCTAATTTTTCTTTTTCTCTAATTTCGTTGCGCATTTAAGGTGCACCGTGAGTTAGAAGAATGGGAAAATTCAAAAGAAGAAAAGAAAGAAATTGGAAAAGAAAACATTCATGGTAAAGACTGGCAAGCAGTTGACTGGGATTTATACAAAGGAAAAGAGTGGCGGGACTAGGCATAACGTCTCTTTGATATTTTCCTGCTTTTGCACTGGTGGTCTTAATACTTTTTTAATTTGCATTTACCTCGTGCCTTTCTTTTTTCGAATTTGTGCTTTTTTTTTCATATTATTAAAAGATTACATGTTTCTTGAGCTTATAAGTAAGTCAGTTTTCATCTTATGGATATATATTTCGGAGTCAACTTTTCCATTAAAGGTAGAATGTCACAGATCAAGTTTTTTTTTTTTGTTTTTTTGTATTGCAAATATAGACATATGACACACACATGAGTAAATTAGAAATTATTTTATGTTTTATTTGTCAAGTTATTTAAGGTTAATAATTTGCAATTACAGATGCAATTTTGCCTCTAACCTTGATACTGCTTAAGAATCAAATTCTGATATTCTTCTTAAAAAAAAAAAGGTGATCTGAAATTTTGAAAGTGTTGAACAGCACTTGAGTCTGAAGCCACATCTCCTTTTGTAAGTTAGCTTTGTTACATTAAGATAGAGAAGAACAATATCCTAAATACAGCAACTACATTACATCAGCACCATATGCATCATCTCTGTAACGTCCTATTCCTATCAAAAAAGAAAAGCCATTTTATCATGATGATTTGACAACGCAAAAGCTAGTTTTTCTTTCCTCCATGTTTTCAAATGATCTATAATGGCAATCATGCATGCAATTTTTGTTCTTTTGTTCTCCATGATAAGGGCAATAAAATGTTCAACTTTTACTACTTTAGCATTGGGTTTGAACCAAGAGTGGGAGTGGCTCTCTGCAGAATCCTTGGAAAACTGATGGGGTGGCTCAGGGAGGGGGAAAAAGTTTTAACCCATTTGGGTAAATGCTCTTTCACCTGCCGTGGGGTTGGGGGGATGATTCTTGGTGCAGAAACTAAAGAAAGTTTGGTTTTTTAACGTTCGAATGCCAAAAGAAATTTTGGAAGCAAGAGAGGAAAAGTTTTAACCAAATTTCACGTCGCATGATGGGGATTTGAATCTGGATGGTAACTCGAAAGGAGATTGTGGTGGAATTCCAACTCAACATAATCTTTGTCTTATTGTGTCACTTTCTTCCCTTTGTTTTTTCTATATCGTTTTTCATTATCTTATGGTAGAGGACGAGCAGGCATGGTCCTCATTTTCATCCCTAAAGCTTTTTACATAGTCCTTATTCCTAGGAAAAGGCTAAGCTTTTGCTGTTGCCCTTGCAAAAATAACTAGCTGAAGACGACTTCTTTAATCCACCATCACATGACCGTAGGGCTACCTCTACATCAGGGCACAGCAAGGTCCCCCCTCTCCAATCCTCGAGCTTCTCTGACTGGGCAGAAAATTGCAGGTGCCATTCGTTTTCAGAGCTCAAATCATGGGAGGACAGAGTGGTTTGTCTTGATAAAATATACTTTATTCCAACTGAGATGTTTTTAGCCTTTTCATGTTTTTGATTTGAATGAAGGATTTAAAATAAAGGTGGAGCTGATACAGATTAAGACACATCCCCTAGGTTGAATGACCATGTTGCTTGTACTGCTGTACAGGAATCATTTGGCCAACACTTCGGTCCTTTTGTTCCTCACAATATGGCAGTTGGTACGTAGAATTTGTCCCATTTGGGGAAGTGGTTTTTGAAAAATTCAACAGTGCAATCATGGCAACAAATGGAATGAATGATTATGCTGTTTAATAGCAAACTCGAAGTGAAACTACAGATGGTCATGGACTGTTACCAAAGAAATATAGCCAATGTTCCTTAATCCATGAATGGCTAAGCTAGAAAATGGAAATAATGCCAGCAGGATTAGATCTAGAGCCTCCCAAATCCACAAACAGGAAAATTTTTTCGTATTTGCAGAAATGTGCATGGGAGAGCCTGCCCCACTAGAGCTAATCCGTACTATGTTTAGTGCATTATTTGGTGGTCCTTTTCAATTTTTTCTTTCCGTCTTTAAACTTTCTATGGTCTAAAAGAATTAAAGCACTCTTCAATTATTTGCACTTTTAATTCGTTTCAACTAGAAATCGTTCATGCCTTGAAGCCATTAAATGAAAATTTGCTGTCATAAGACTTAAAAACTTTTCAAAAATGTGTTTGTAATAATTTGGGGCCTATGCAAGCCTACCTGCGGGGTCAAAGGACAATGACTAAACCCAACAGCTTGGCGAGTAGGCTAGGGATGGTCCACCTTCTCTGGTCTCCAACTGGACTTTTGATCGTTTACTGAGTAGGATTTGAGGCTTCAGGTACAGTCCTTGTCCTATCATTGTTTGTAGTCTAAGTAGAGTCCATCAATCATCTTAGGGATAAAAATTTTCAATATTCAAACAAAAATTAGAGAGAATTTTGAGCCTATGACTCTGATTTCGTGAGAGTTATGTTAATGTAACTTAATCAAAGCTATAAAATTTCAATTGAAGTCAGATTTACTAAGAACGATTTTGGTTGAAGTTCGAGATCAATTGGACCACGAATGACTTCAAGGCAAAACAACTTTGTAGTAAAGAACAAATCAAATTTCCAACTCCCAACTTCCAATTATTATAGGGATCCAAAGCTCCTAGTCATAGACTTGTTTCAGTTCATGCATATGATAAAGTTCTTTTTTTTTTTTGTTCAATTAATTTCCCATTTCTCATTAGCTGTATTGGGATCGACATAATTGAGACTAATTGACTAAGGGACCACAAATTAATTCTTTGGCCTATCTTTATACTCTGCTTTTGCTGGGAGGGAAACATATAGGCTAAGTTTTGAGCTCAAATCTACAGTCAATGCCTGTGGAGAATCCAAAATTCTAAGGCAAGTTGAAGGGATCAACCACCAATCATATGCAGCATTATGTCTATCCACTTAATTCCTTTACAATGCAGCATATTATCTTGAGACAAAACTCGTGATGAAGGAATGATTGCTTTCAATTATAACAAAAGTAAAATCACTTGATCAAATTTCAAGTCTGTCTAACAAAGCATGTGCTGTTTTCTTTGCTCTGTCAACGTGCATATACCCTCTCTTTTTTCTACAAAGATAATGATTAATTGGCAATTAGCCTCCCTGTTACGATGCCTTTGGCCTTTGATTTGAATATAAAATTCCCTAGGAGTCATGTTATATTCAGAACACTCAAAAGAAGAAATATAAGTATTCTTGGGTTTTTTTTTTTGTCCTTCATTGACAATGAATTTTCAAAAAAATTAAGATAAAAATTTTCATTTTAATGTAATTTATATTAAAATTTAAAATTTTTCTTATAATGTAAATATTCAATATCATTACTTTTGTTCAAATAAAATTGTGTTATAGAATGTATTTCGTATTTGACAAATCAACAATTGAGAAAAGAGTCTTAGAACAGTTAAGTGTCAATCAGAACCATGAATTAGCTAACCATTTTTGGACTTTGGCAGGATGCAGATTGTAATGTGTTGGGCTTTTGGAAAACTGCAGCTCCTTCTACAAGAACAGATTAAGAGTAAGAGATGACAAAGAGAAGGTAATCCAGGAGGCAACAACATACAACTGTTTTGAAGACAAAATTTACAGAAAATGAAGGACTGTGCATGCACTTCTGGGCACTAAATTTTTCACAAGTTTCATTTCTTTTTAATGGATGAAAAACAGAAGAAAAAAGTTTACAAAACCAAAAGGTAAATTACATGATCTCTATGTTGTCTGTGAGAAAACGAATGTCAACAACTTTTTCCCTTCCTACTTGGTGAGAGTATTGAGCAGTGAGACCCTGGTGTTAATTAAACTCCTAAAAGCTTTTTCACTGCTGCTTTCGACATCAGCAATGCACCTTTCCAAGTCTTGCATTCCCTTCAAAACCATCCTCACTTCCTCATCTCCCTTCTTTCTCAAACCCACCATGTTGGCTTCACCGATTTGTTGGAATTCTTTAATGCTTTCTTCAATCTTAACCTTCTTGGCTTTCTTTGACAACTTCAACCCAATCCAAGAGGGTTTTCTTGAAATAAATGAGATTGAAATCCCATTGAAAAGAGCCAGTGAAACTGAAACGGTCACTTCGATAACATCGCTGATAACACCAGCCAGCTCAGTATCTGCAATAGACACGAAAGCTGATACAGGAAATGAGTATCGCCCAACGCAGCGGATTGAGGATACGAGTTTAGCTATCTCTTTAGCCATCTTCTTACGACCTTTTAGATACATAGCAATCTTCGAGTCGTCTTTCCTCCTTAGAGCCACCCGCGCTGCGAGTTGTTCTTCTTTAAGTGCAAGAGATGAAGTTTGGAAGATCCCATAAACATCAACAAACAGTAGGAAATCTTCGAGAAGCTTCTCAACCCATTCACGCTTTTGGCTTAACAATTCATGAGTCTGTGGGAGCTGGAGAATATCATGCAGAGCATCATGAACGTCCTTTAGCCGGCTCAAGCCATCACAAAGCCAAGCAGAGGTTCGGTTATCAGGCCTGCATGACCATGTTTTGAGCTCAGTGATTTCATCTTTGAGTTGGGAAATCAAGGGGTGTGATCTGCATGGAAGGGAGATGGATCTGATGTGGTGAGAGATTGGTGGTTTGGATGGACGGTTCGGGGTTTTGTTTGGGAAAGAGAGTGAGCGCCTGAAAACGCCAACCATTTGTTTTGGTTTGCTGGTGTTTGATCTGATTGTTGTTGACTCTCTCAAGGGTTGTGTGCTCTGCTTTGACAACGAAATGAAGAAGGGATGAGACTTGAGAGAGTATATAAAGGGAGGACAACTAAGGCGCACGAGGGGGTGATGGAAGAGGGGGACTGGATCCGCGAATAAATATTAGCTGTTACAGCCGCTAAAACCAAATAATCAATCATGTGGGCTTGGGTTTGCAAACCGAGGCGCTTATGGGTCCCTTTTCCTGTGGAGAGGAGACACCACGTGGTTTTGACACGCTGGCAGCTCTGCTCAATAGAGCAAGTTCTGCCAGTGACCCTGTTGTCCAAAGTTCGTGGACTTCTTGTAAATCCTGATTAGCTAGCTGACTAGCTCATAATGTCACGCCTCTGAATCCAGGCAATCATCGAGGCAAGGTTATCCTAACCTTGACCTGCTCGGGTTAGAAACTACAGCATTTACCCAATTCTCCCATCCTCTAAACCAACAACACTTGAAATATCAGAAAAGTTTTACCTTCTTGCACTATCATTGTAGGTATAAGTTCTATTGAGCTAACACATAGAACTGCTTTATATAGTTAAAACGAGCTTTATCAGATCCCAATTCAACTTTCAAATCAAAGAAGATATTTAGAAATTTAAAAGTTACGATATCAAGTTTTCTAATCCAACAACATGGATTGCCGAATTTTACACAGAAATGCCAACAACGAGCCAGGCCGGCTGCAATCCTACTACAGAGAGCATGTTCGTGGTGTACCTGTCTTACTCCACTAACATGTTTGTGCTGAGTCCTGACGACCAAAAAGTATGGACAGACCATGAGGGCTCAGTCATCTCAACGCATATGCCAGAACTGCTCCAATTCCCTCGTTTCTAACGAACAAATCATAGAAAACAACATTAGAGTAGCTTTAGCTGTCACTATTAAACAAAAAAAAACCCTCCCTCTACTGGCATCTGGAATCGAAAAACACATTGGTCTCCAGCAAATCTGCAATTAAAACTTTATTTTTTTTTTTTATCTTTTAACGCGTAAGGCGTTCAATTCACACGTATTTCCAACCTGCCAACTTCCCTGTAACCGCTGGAAAACTACAATTTTTTTTTAAAAATTTCAGGAAAACGAAGAAGATTGTGCAGAAGCTAACCATAATGTTCACGCGGAACTTGGAACTTGAACAAGATTACACAGCTTAAGAATCTGTGAAAATATTGTAATCGTCTGATTAGCCTTTCTTTACGGAAAGGAAAATTTGGTACATCATGCAAACGGTTTGAGGAAAATCCATTTGTATATTCCCCGCATCATAAATGCGCATCAGCTAGCGATTATACGCTTGCGTATCAGAAAAACAGTTAGAGGAAGAAACAACTATACACTTCTGAAAAAATACAGGAAAAATAAAAAAAAATAAAAAAACCTTTTTTTTTCTATTTTAATTCTCCATACCGCCCTCCACGAGATATGCCGGACATGCTCTTCTGCCTGTTTTTCTATATATGCCACGAGAGGTCTTGGATTTTGCAACTTGTTAGTAATACCATATACCAGCAGATATTTTTCTGCTTTGAATTTATTAACACCGAACGGAAAACTTAACTAAATTCATTTTAAAGCTGAAAGTCTGAAACCAGAGAACGGAATGGGTTCTATGTGCATAGTAATAAACATTGGTTTTCCCCGTCCCATGCCCACTCTCCAATTCCAGGATGAAAAGGTGGCAGGCGTCATGCAATGTTGAGGTCTGCTTACCTTCTGTCAAAGACTGAAAGACAAGCTGTATTGAGGTAGAAATTGATGAAATCCACCATTCCAGAGAAACTGTAGCAACATCTGAAGAAGTAATTAAGAAGCCAATTTATTGAAGCTTGAAAAGGATATTAAAGTTAAACCATTCTCAACTATTCTCACTGCTTAGACTTTTCCTGATAGAAAATTTAAATCCTAAGCTCCAAAAACGATAACGGCCTACCTTCAAACACCTAGAATTCTTTAATAACAATAGGTTAATTAAGTAGTGTAAGTAAACCCTAGTCTATGCTTTCTCGTTGACCTAGTTTTATTTATTTGATCCTAGTCATGGTCATTGGGACACAACCAATTTGTAGCTCAAAGTCAACTGGCTAACAGTGGAATTCAATAACACACATGGTTGGGCAAGCAGACATGACAGATAGGCTTTGAACAACTTGTCCTTGAAGTCCTCCAACTAGCATAAATCAGATAAGATTTCAAAACTAAAGTCACGAGATTCTTTCGCAAAAAAACGGTGAGGCCTAAGCCGTTAAGCTGGTAGCATGCCATGAAAACTGAAGCTTTTAAGTTATGTATTTGTTCGAGATTTTGTATTTACCAAAGACGGGGATCAAATTATTATCATATTCATCAATTGGCATTGACTGATCACTCAGCCCACGTGGAGCTGTGGAGATGATTAGAAGGCATCTTCACCAAAAAACAAATTTCGTCACGTTTCACACTTAATTTTTTTCTCTAATATTCCTCCGAACATGCGGGGTATGAGAATGGAAATGACTCTAGGAAGGTTTTACACTTTTTATTCTTTTGGTAGGTAAACAAGATGAAGATCATTATTGTCAAATGCACAACAAGAATTTGGCCATGTCACCAAGGAAAATATTTATCACTTAACGGTCACCAAGCTAAATCAAAGTCTGTATCAATTAGCTTAGTTTACACTTGATGAATATATATATATATATATATATATGATGGATAAATAATTGCATATAGGCCCTTAAGGTGATTGAAATTGGTTAGTGAAAATACTGAATGTACATCTTTAAGCAGGGAATAAACTTTATATAAATTTGTACACGTTTTAGAGAATTTAAGTTAGGACCTTGGGATCTTGGAAGTGATGATAATTGAGGTCTTAGAAAACACCACGAAGCACTTTACATAAAAAAAGCTTAGAGAATGGATGTACCATCAATTTCCCGAGCTGGGGAAGCCGAAACAGGGTATAGACTGGCATCTATTCAGGAGAGATCCGGTCCAAACTGACGGCCCATTTGAACGGAAAACATCCCTTGACTAGCAACCAATGAAACCCACATAGATATTTGATTAGGCGTTACGTCGGCCTCTGAAACGTATGCAAGGGACGATGTTTGGGCCTCTAAAACAGAATTACTTGGCCTGTAATGCTTTTCAGCCCCAAACATCAAAAAGAAAGTATAATAATAAGACTAAATGTTTAATTTGGAATCAAAAGTTTTAAGTTGTTGTTAATTTAGGATCAATTACATTAATTGTTACAATTGAAGATTAAATATTTTTAATTTTTTATAATTAAAGGTTAAGATGAAAAGTATTCGGTGCATGTAAGACACATGCATAACGTGAACATTGACTTAAAAAGGTAAGATATGGAAGGGTGATTTTGTCAAAATAAAATTTTTATGAAGTCAAAACACTTCAAATTATTACATGACGTATAATAATTTTTTCATCGTAACATGTAATAATTTTTTCATAATAACATTTAATAATTAAAATTTTGAACACCATATGTAACAAATAAAACTTCAATATAGTATGTAATAACTAAATTTTTAACGTAATGTATAACAACTTTTTTTTTAATATGACGTATAATAACTAAATTTTTAACATAACATATAACAATTACATTTTTAATATGATGTGTAACAATTAAATTTTTAACATAACGTATAATAACTATATTTTTAACACGATTTTCTATCAAATATTATACACAATGCATTCACCTGTCAACTTAACATTTAATTATTAAAAATAAAAAATTTTAATTTTTAATTATTACAATTGAAATATTTAACTTTTAATTAAAAAAATATCCAAATGTTTATTCCAAAGACGAAGAGAGAAAGAGCTAATAGGAGCCCCCGCCTCCTTAAAATTTCAAAATACATATATATTGTTTTATTTTATTTTATAATTTTATAATTTCATCATCTCAAATATTAAATTTTTTATTTTTACTTTGTCACACTTAAAATTCTATTTCCATCACTAATTTAATCTTAATTTAAACATTTAACTTAATAATTTATATTATATATATAAAGAAACCCTAGCGCAGCTTTTTCAATTAGCCACATGGAATCTTCAACAGAGATTGTGATGTATTTGGTTGGTGGACCGCATTCTGAGAGGTATAAACCGAGGGGGTCGTGTTCAACGCATGAGTTTTCCTCCGCAATAATAAAAGTCTTGTATGAAATGGATGCGGTGTTGACCTCCTCAAATGCCACGTAATTTATCACTTATATTGAAGGAAGCTTTTGCTGGGCTTCCGAGGGTTGACAGGCGTTCTCTTGTTTTACACGTGGCGTTGTGACAATGTTTTATTGTTCACTTAACACGTGCCACTTAGTTTACGCAAAGCCGAAGATGCAATAAAATGCATAGGGAAGTGGATCTGTCTCCAGAAACGGTAGAAATTTGTCAAATTGTTAATTCACGATGGAAAGGAACAGTGAACAGGGAAAAGGAAAGGAGGCGGAGCAGAGTCATCAGCCTCCTCATATTTCACCCATGCAGCCGGTGACAAGCGGTGCTTACGGTGGCGGAATGTACGGAACCGAGGAGCAGGCTCAGACGAAGAGACCGGAAAAGCCGCCTGCCAGTGAGACTCAAAGTGCTGATGGACCTTATGAGCCCACGTACAAGCCCCTGAACAAACCCCCACCGTTATCCGGCGATCGGGACATTGATATTACTGGTCAATCTTATATCCAGTAAATCGTCACTGCAGCTTTAGCTGCTTACCCTGTGTGGGTTTTCTGTTTTCTTTTTGGATTTCTTGCCTTGTATAATAAACGCTATGCTTTGATTTTTGTGGTTTTCATTTTCCAGTCTTCAGCTGTGTGCTACAATGAAATATGTTGCTCTTTCCTATACCAGGAATCAGGGAACTCAATGCTTTTATGCTTTCTAGCTTTAATTACTTTATAGGATGGTGTTGGTACGTCATGAAACTCACCAAGAAGATCACTTTCAAGGACTGATCTGATAGTTGGGCTTAAACTGTACTGGCAGATGGGCATCAGGTCCGA